ATGCCTATATCTCCCAGCACCGGGCAATGAGCAACGTGAGGACAAAGAATTATCGCAATCACCTCTGTCACTCCCTACAGTGCCTAGCATGGGGACTGGCACACAGCTGACACTAATAGATGTTTGTTGAATTGAGAAAGGAAAGTGAAAGACCACACGGTGGTCAAACCCAAGACTCCATCTTCTTTTACACCATCCTGTTTCAGTAAGAAAAAAAAAAAAAGAGTAGGAGGAGTCTTTTTCTTCCTCAACACACTCCAACCTTCAGTCTCAGAAGCACCCTGACCCAAGCACAGCTTGGCCTCTACCACCGACTACGTAAGCATATGTGTGGGTGTGTGCGTGCACATGTGTTAGAGTGGAAGCCCCCATCACTCCTCTGAACCAGAATTTCAATCACCATCACTGGACAAAAGCAACAAACTCTGGGGACACTTATGTTACTTGGATCGGCACCTTGGGGTAGATCTCTAAAACCAGATTCACGCATTACTTGCGTATTCATCCTGAACACTTACTTTGTGCCAGGTGTTGGGTTACATACTGGGGAAGGGAATAGAAGGGACCCTCTCCTTGCCCTCAAGGCACCCAGTGCAATCCTGCCTTAACTTACTTGGCTGCTCATCTGCAGCACAAAGAGGAAAAGAGATACCAGGCTGCACTGCAGATTTCCCAAATCAAAATCTCTTAAAGTGGAACTCAGACACGTGCCTTTTTTAAAACCTCCACAGGTGAATTCTGATTCACAGGCAGGGTTGTAAGCTACTGATCTCTTGATCAGTGCTACCTAATAGAACTTTCTGCAATGATGAAATGTTCCATATCTGTGGTGTATGTGTGGCTATTGAGCACTTGAGACATGGCCAGTGACTGCGGAATTGAATTTTTAATCTTACTTCATTAACTTAAGTTTTATTTTTATATTTTTTAAAGATTTTATTTTATTATTTATTTGACAGAGAGAGAGACAGCGAGAGAGGGGACACAAGCAGGGGGAGTGGGAGAGGGAGAATCAGGCTCCCCGCTAAGCAGGGAGCCCGGTGCGGGGCTCGATCCCAGGACCCTGGGTTCATGACCCGAGCCAAAGGCAGACGCCCAACGACTGAGCCACCCAGGTGCCCTAAATTAAAATTTTTTTAAAGATTTTATTTATTTATTTGTGAGAGAGAGAGAGAAAGCAAAAGCAGAAGGGAGGGAGGGGCAGAGGGAGAAGAAGACTCCCCACTAAGCAGGGAGTCCAACGTGGGGCTCGATCCCAGGGACCCTGAAATCATGACCTGAGCGGAAGTCAGAAGCTTAACCGAATGAGCCACCCAGGCGCCGCATTGACTTAAACAGCCACACATGGCTAGTGGCTACTAGATCAGACTGCAAAACTCTAGACGATCCCAAATCACTTCAATTTGGCTTTAAAATACTTCTCATGGGCACCTGGGTGGCTCAGTTGGTTAAGCGATTGCCTTCGGCTCAGGTCATGATCCTGGAGTCCCGGGATCGAGTCCCGCATCGGGCTCCCTGCTCGGCAGGGAGTCTGCTTCTCCCTCTGACCCTCCCCCCCCTCATGCTCTCTCTCTCTCTCTCTCATTCTGTCTCAAATAAATGAATAAAATCTTTAAAAAATAAATAAAATACTTCTCACAATACTGTTTTGTAGCAGTTCAAGTCTCCATTCCCTTTAGCTCAATAGAAAACAATGAGCTTCCCCTCCCTACAGACCCTCTCATTTGCACTGAAAAAACTGCTCTAGGATGAGTTGGGGGGTATAGCGGCCTGTCAGGGGGATTAAGCCCTATCAGGTAGCTAAGCCACACCACCACTCTACCTGCCAGACTGGAGGAAAGGCACTCCTGACTACCCTCTTCTGTTAGAGGCTGGCATTGGTGGGAGACAGGAAAAACAGTGACATGACTTGAGATGCCTGTTATGAGCCAAATGGTGTCTCCCAATCCCCCAAATTCATGTGTTTTTTTTTAACGTTTCTTTTTTTTTTTAAAGATTTTATTTATTTATTTGACAGAGAGAGAGAGAGAACAAGTAGGCAGAGAGGCAGGCAGAGGCAGAGGGAGAAGCAGGCTCCCCGCTGAGCAGGGAGCCCGATGTGGGGCTCCATCCCAGGACCCTGGGATCACGACCTGAGCCGAAGGCAGCGGCTTAACCGACTGAGCCACCCAGGTGCCCCCCCCATTCATGTTAAAACCCTAACCCCCAACGTGACTTTATTTGGAGAAAGGGCCTTTAAAGAAGTAACTAAGGGGCGCCCGGATGGCTCAGTTGGTTAAGTGTCTGCCTTAGGCCCAGGTCGTGATCCCAGGGTCCTGGGATTGAATCCCGCATCGGACTCCCTGCTCAGCGGGGATCCTGCGTCTCCCTCTCCCTCTGCAGCTCCCCCTGCTTGTGCTCTCTCTCACATACCACTCGCTCTCTCAAATAAATGAATAAAAAATCTTAAAAAGAATAAAATAAAAGAGGTATTTGAGCTTAAATGAGGTCTTAAGGGTGGAACCCTAATCCAATGACTGGTGTCCTTGTAAGAAAAGAAATAGCAGGGAGACACACAGAAAGGCCATGGCAGGACACAGTGAGAAGGCTGCCGTCTACAGGCCAAGGAGAGAGGCCTCAGGGGAAACCAAACCTGCCGACAGCTGCCTCTTGGACTCCCAGCCTCGAGAACGCTGAGAAAATAAACGTGTTTAAGCTACGCTGTGTGTGGTGTTTTGGTTATGGCAGCCCTGGCAGACTACTAGAGTGCCCTTAGAAGAAGGCAGGCCCGAACCCTAATCAGCCCCTTGCAGGACAAGATGTACCCCAAGAATTGAGGACGACAGCTCTACTAGAAGCCAGATCCAGCAGGGACTCTGCTGGCACCTAGGTCTTCCGGCCACCATCCTGGTCACTACCGTTCTAGTGCCCCCGTGGGCTGCCCGACCCTACCCCAGCTCACGAGTCTCGCCCCCAATTCTAGGCTTTCACCTAGACTGTGCTGTCCCACCAGGGCACCTTCCCTATAATCGCCTTGCCGTTCCCTTCTTGACCCCATTGCACCTACCCTGCCTCCTGTAGGGCCTTCCCCTTCAGCCCCATCTGTTGGGTGTTTTAAGTGTGTGTGTTCTGTGCATCTCACTTTCCCCCACTGGACTTCAAATGCTCAAAGATTGGTCTGGCATTCGAGATCCTTCACAAGATGGCTCCAACTTACCTCTCTAGCTTTTCCTCCCAAGCGGGCAAAGTCAGTGCTCACCCACTTGCCACCCCTTGAACATAATGATGTTCTCCAGAACTCCCAGTCTCTAAGGCCGCCCAAAATGCCACCTCCCCGGAGAGCCTTCTCTACCTCGGCTAAATGCAGAGGGGCACAATGACTTCCCTCTCTGTGCACTTATCCCAGTGTCTCATCTAGGGCCCTGCACCAGGGAGGAAAGGAGTCTAAGGTGTGTGTGTGGCAGGGGTGGTGGGGGGGGTGCCAAGTTGCAATGCCATTCCGATGCTAACTCCCCAGAGTCAGCACACTCTCCACGGGTTTAAGGGCACCGTCCCCGACAAGACCGCCCTCGCTTCAGATGTCAGCTCCAAGTTCAGGGGTCCCCAGGCCACCTATACTTCTAACTGGCTACAAATCCAGGGGTTCCCGTGACCCCCTCAGGTTCGGTAATTCACTAGAATGACTGACAGAACTCAGGAAAGCACTTCCTTAGAACCACGGTTTTATTATACAGGATACCAATCAGGCGCAGCCAAACAGAGATACAAGAGGCAAGGTCCGAGAGGGTTTCCCAGCCCCGCTGCTAGGTACTTCCCCGCAGAAAGGGGACACAGCAGCCGGCTGTGGCACCCACGCATTCACCACCCAGGAGGCTCGCCAGAGTCTGTGTCCGGAGTTCTCATTAGGGTTTCATTACATAGGTATTATCGATTGACATCACTGACCACATGGTTGAATTCCATCTCCAGCCCCCCCCCCCCCCCCCCCCCCGCCTCGGTTCAGGCTGGTATCACCTGGCTCATAGCCCCAACCCTCTAATCAAATGGTTGGCCTTTCCGGCATAGTCCTGGTCCAGAGTCAATTTCAGCATAAACGCAAGTGTGTGGTCTGAGGGTCTAACAAAGACACTCCTATCACTTGGGAAATTCCAAGGATTTAGACACTTCCTTCCCAAGAACCAGTGACAAAAGCCAGTCAAATTCTTCATTATACAAATGGGGACACTTACACTAAAAAGACTTGCTTTTTTTTTTTAAGTTTATCTTACATATATATTTTTTAGTAATCTCTACACCCAACCTGGGGCTCCAACTCACAACCCCATATCAAGTCTCATGCTCCTCTGAGCCAGTCTCCCCTATACTAAAAATCTTAATTTTGAAAGATGGAGATGACGTATCCCAGGAGATAGAATCCAACCACGTGTTCCTCATTAAGATGGTCTCAAGACCCACTCTACTCCCAACTTGGTTCACCTTCCCAGCCCTATTAAAGGGGCACATCAACCAGTCATCCAGCAGACACGAGAAATGAGTTAGGTGGAGCTGGCGTGCTCCCATCCACCCATCAGCGGCTCCCCACAGGGCCCTGAGCAGCAGACAAACCCCTGACTGAGACCCTTAAGCTATGGTAAGACAATTAGAGGTCTGTTTACATCATCTCCCCGGATACCCAGAAGAACCCTTTGCAACAGTGAAGAGGTAAGAGAAGGGAAAAATCTAAACCACCCCTTCCATCTCTGACATGCAGGAGGGAAAAAAGGACCCACACAAAAGGGTTTAGGAGCTTTTTTTTTTTCCTTTTAAAGATTGTATTTATTTATTTGACAGAGAGGGCACGAGTGGGGGGAGGGGCAGAGGGAAAGGGAGAGGGAGCAGCAGACTCCCCGCTGAGTGGGGAACCTGAGAGATCATGACCTGTGCCAAAGGCAGGCGCTTAAGCAACTGAGCCACCTATACACCCCGGTTTAGGAGTTTTTAATGCTTAGACTGAAAAATCACAGGCTGCGTTTTTCATAAAGTTACTGGTCCACCTCTGGCAGGGCAAGGATCTGCCCCTCACCCAGCAAGGTCCTGGAGTGGGGGCACTCCTTTTGTAGTGTGGTACAGTGACGCCCCAACCAAGAGGCAAAAAAGCAAGAAGGATAAGGAGCACCCGCCAGGCAGGACGCAAGGCACTTCCAAGTGTTCTCTCACTTAATCCCCACCCCAACCCCATGAGGTAGGGATCCCCGTTTTACAGATGAGGATCCTGAGGCTTGGAGGGGTCCATCAAATCTGTCCAAAGTCATAAAGTTCACAAAGCCATGAAGCCTCAAAGCCGAGATGAAGAAAGCCAGGTCTTCTGGTCTTCCGCACTCTGCCACACTGAATTCTTTCTCTGATCCAGCCTCAGTCTCCCATAAGAAGTTCACTCTTAACATCCACAGCCTTCGCTTTGTCCTGGTCCCTGTGAGGAAAAGGCTCAGCTTGCAGGAAGCTGTTCTAGGAGGATGGGTGGGGGTCCTGGCAGGATCTTTCCTCTAACACAGCAAATACGGCCCCAGAAGTCACAGTTCGGGCCCGTCTCAGCTGAGCAGAGGCCCTGGCGCCAACAGTGAGGTAGTGCAGTTGGCAGACGCCCCGTCTCTGTGGCCTTAGCTACCACAGGAGCAGGGGCCGTGCTCAAAGGAAGGGGAAGAATGCAGCCAGCGGACTAGTGTCAGACCTGCCACGGCAGGCCCCGGCAACCAGGGAGCCCAGAAGGCCCCTGTGGCTCCAGGCCAGGGGGCGTGTAGTCCTCTGCTTGCCCCGGGATGACTTGGGGGCCTTGAACATGCCCTGTGCCGGGCCACAGGGGCCCTCATTTCGTTAGCAGCGGCAGCAGCCCCAGCTCATTCAGTCTCTCCTTGGCCGCTGCCTCCCAGCCCCTGTTGGCCTGTGGGCTCCGAGGTGAGGGGTGCAAAAGCCCCTCCACCTGGACCTCAGGCGTCAGGCCTGCCAGAGCCCGCCGCGCCCGCTGCTCCGCCAGGCGCCCCACTCCCACCACCAGCTGCACCCCCAGCAGCTGCACCTGCCTGCAGAGGGCCGCGTCACAGGCCCTAAGAAGCTGTTCTCGCTGCCTGGCAGGTAGCTCGGCGGGAGTGACGTTGCGCCCACTGGGAGTCAAGAAGAGCAAAGGACACAGATTGTGGACAAAACAGTGACGGAAGAAGACCTCGGGCTGTCCACAGAGGTTCCGGAAAAAGCCCCAGAACCGGGCACCGCTCACCTCCGACTGAGGGCACTCCAGTCCCAGCACTGGTCGCTTCGGGTGCTCTTGGGGTGGGGTCAACACAGGTCCCCCAATGCCCAACCAGTCCCGGACTACGCTCACTTCCCCAAAGGGCACCTGCCGGGAGGGAGAGAGACAGGAGGGTTTCAGTCTGGAGATCTGACACCTGGGTTCTGCACCAGCTGCACCCTCTAATACTGGACACCCCACCACTACCCCCACCCCCTTCACCCAAAGGCCTGAGACGAGGATTCTGGCCCTATGGTTTGATCCTGCCCATCTTTCTCCAATTTTTCACTGTGGACTGTAATGCGGAAGAATCTGTTTGCTTCTATCCCCACTTGCCTTTGGAAGCAGAGAGAGAGAGCATATGGGAGTATCTGGCTCTCCACAGGATGTGATGGGTAGTATTGGGGGCAGACAGACAGTCTGAGACAGAAAGACAGCCAGGGTTAGAGGAGGCACAAAGGACTGACCAGCGCTCTCTCGGTGCCCTCTCAGGCCGGAGCCTCAGGCTGTCATTTCCATCGATCATCATTGATCACCTTTCATCCCCCAGTCGGGGTCAATAAAAGCGATTGAGCCTCCTGCCCCGAAGCCTCTTCCCCTCCCCCATCTGCCAAGCACCCCCACTGAGGGGCATTCACTCATCCCAAGGTCTGAAAGGAAAGCAGGCAGGCCCCAGAGCCAGCTCTGTTTTGAGCCTCTCCTCAGCTAAGACACAGAAGCAGGACGGCTGAAAGCCCTGCATCTCTTCCATACCCACCCGTCAGCCAGTCTCCCCTGAGGAGCCGGCATTCCTGGCCCCTCTCCCGACCCCCACCACACTCTAGGGAAAGAGGAGATCCGGCAAGGTAAGGTAAGGATGGGGCGGGCGGAAGGAAGGGCTCCAGAGGCAATTAGAGGACAAGCTCACAGGGGAAACGGAACTACCATTAATGTGCTTGGTTAACTCTGGGCTGTGAGGCCAGGAGAGTGTCTGAGACCACAGGAGCCAGCATGTGTACTGGGAGGGGATGAGGGGCCCGTCCCCACACGGGGCCACAGCCAGGCACACGCTCCTCCCCCACTGCAGCACAGCCAAACATCCACCTTGGAGCCTCCCACTCCAGCCACCAGGGGAAGCCAAACCCTTTACCCCAGTCTGGGCCATGCCAAAGGGCCCGGGGTTCATGCCCAGGAAGAGCACTTCCTTGGGGCCTCGGCAGTAGCGGGTCACATAGCTGCGGTGCGGCTCCCACGCATACTCCACAGGATTGTAGATGATGCCCACAGGCTCTGAGAACTGCAGCTGGCTCAGTTCAGCATTGAGCCGCAGCTCCTCCTCCAGGAAGCCCTCAGCCACGCTTGGAGGGCAAGGCTGGGGCTCCATCAGGGCACTGGCAGGCTCATGGAGGGGCTCCAGTGGATAAGCGTGGGGCACAGCCACGTCGCTGCCACCTGGAAAAGAGAAGGACAGAGGCCCCATCAGTCTTCAGCCGTAGAGTGAGAGGGATCCAGGCTGGCCATGGCTGGCCCTTCCAGGGCTCAGAAGAGACCATCAGCCATCGCCTACCCTCTAGGTTTGACTGAGCTCATCTCAGTTCTTGGTGGTGAAGGGCCCTTTCACTGCCCACTTCAAGTATCCCTCCTCTTCCTATGTCACCTGGTGAGAATAACCCGTCATCTCCCACTCCAAACCTCCTTTCCATCAGGCTTAAGCCTTGAGTCACTAGTTCCTAGGCCATGCCAAGCACATGGGAGGTTTTCAATATATATTTACTGGTGGCAGACTTTCAGCACCTCTAATGTCATCCTTAATAAAACAAGCTCAGCCAGGATGGGCTGTGTCCTGGAAACCGATGTGCTGAAGAATGAGATGCAGGTGCACAGCCAGAGCCCAGAGACTAATTACACAAGGCTAATTACAATTGCTTCCAGGTGGTGAGCAATTGCTCTGTGCCGGGTACACCTCATTGATCCTCATAACAACCCCATGAGGTGAGTGTTATTGCTCCCATGTTACAGGTGAGAAGACTGAGGCTTAGTAAGATCAAGCAACTTGCCCAGGGTCACGCAGTTAGCAAGTAATGAAGCTGGGATTTGAACCTAAACTATGTGACTCGAGGCTATGCTCTTAACCACCCAACTCATCTTGCCTGAAACGGTTCAATCAGCCACCCTGCAAATCCAACAACCTCCACAAGCCCAGCCCAACTTCTTGCCCACATTCAAGAATCCTCAGTGGTCAGCAGGATGATTACTGGACTCAGAATAGACTCTTACAAGCTATGTAACCATGGCCAGAGCCTCAGGTTTTCTCATCCAAATACTAGAATAATAATTATCCACTCAATAATAGCAATATAAAGAATGGAATGAGATGTTGCATGTAAGTGGGGGTTGGGAGGCAAGGGGGAAGTGGAGAAGCAGAAGAGAAAGAGGGAAGAAGCTGGGAGGAGGCAGAGGGAGCACTCCAGCAAGTTCTGTAGCTACAAAGACTATTCCTTCTAATCTTCCTTCTCACAATTCCCATGCAAACCCAGTGTTCCAGCCTGACCATTCCACTCACTCTTTCAAAAATGCCTTTCCTACCCCAACTCCCAAAACTTTGCACATGCCATTTCTTCAAACCCAACCAAATACACTCCTTAAGTCAACCAGGACTGTGACTCCTCTGCCTCTCCACACACCCAAACCATACCCATCCTTCGAGATGCAGCTCCAACAATCCCACTGGAAAGCCTGCCCTCCTTAGGACACTGTAGCCATGCAGTAACGCAGGAGGTCTGGTGTGAGACCTGGGAATCTGTATTTTTTTTTTTTTTTTTAAGATTTTATTTATTTATTTGACAGAGAGAGACACAGTGAGAGAAGGAACACAAGCAGGGGGAGCGGGAGAGGGAGAAGCAGGCTTCCCACGGAGCAGGGAGCCCGATGCGGGGCTCGATCCCAGGACCCTGGGATCATGACCTGAGCCAAAGGCAGACGCTTAACGATTGAGCCACCCAGGCGCCCCTGGGAATCTGTATTTTAAACAAGATTCCTCAGGTGATTCCAATGGTTGATGAAGGCTCAAACCGCTGCATGTCACCATGGTTAGTGGCTTCTTTCCCAATTCACACCTTGCCTCCCTACCTAGACTTGAGCAGATCAGAAGCCAGGTCCTGTTCAACTTCCCTCTGTATCTTTAAGGTCCTAGCTTTAATTAGGTAGTCAACAAACACCCACTAGACTCTGTCCATCCTACCTTTCTCAATCCTCTTTAAAACGACCTTCTACCAAGGAGTCTTTCCCGATGGACTCCTCTCCATTTCTACAGCCGGAGTTCACTCAAGGCTCAGCTGCCCACTTTGCACTCCAGTTGTTTCTGAGGGTTTGCCAGCCTCTGGGTGTGTTTCCATCATGTCTGGGCCTCCCATGGGGCAGGGACCAGGGTTCTTCTCCTTCATGGGACCTCAGGGTTGACAGAACAGCTTGATCCATCAACCTGTTCTCGGACCCTAGCCTAGGGCAAGTGGGAGAGAAAAAAAGTCAGGGTCAAACTTAAGAAACCCTTCTCCAGACTGATCTCAGTAGTCTTTTACTGCTTTGTCCAGATGGCTAACCAGGGCCAACTGGGCTCAAACAAAAGCCAAGAAGGGAGCCGTGGAGAACTCAAATTACCTCCGGGGCCCTTGCTTTGCACATCCCCATGTAGTGCCAATGTTAGTGGACTGGCTGCTCCAGCTCTGGGATCTCTCTCAAGTCTTAGGCTGAGCCTACCTTTGATCTTTAGAGACCTGTGCTGAAGATAGCAAGGCTGCAGGGTACAAAAAAAGAATGACAAGGCTTTATTCGCAGCGTTCCAGTTTCAAACCTAATCTGATAGCAAGAGACACAGTCTGGGTGTCTAAATCCACTTCTAATCCTGGTTTTGTCTCCAAGTTTCTCTTAAGCAAATCATTTAACTCTCCTCTCTATGAAATGAAAACCACAAATTCCATCCAACCTACCATCAACTGTTAACTCATTTATTTTTTTCAATACTTATGAGTCTCTTCCATGACAGGCACTGTGGTCGTCTCTGGACGAGGAAGAAATCCAAAATGAATAAAATGCAGGCCTTGCTCATAAACTACTGAGAGAGGACAGATAAACAACTATAATACACTGTGGTTTGAGCTTTAACATCCTAAACAATACACTATGAGAACCCAAAGGAGGAACTTGAAAGTCCTATCTAAAGCCACCAAGAACCAAAGACTTAAGAAACGCAGACACAGGGATGCGTGGGTGGCTCAGTCGGTTAAGCGTCTGCTTTCGGCTCAGGTAATGATCCTGGGGTCCTGGGACCGGGCCCCGCATCGGGCTCCCTGCTCAGTGGGGAGTCTGCTCCTCTCTCCCTCTGCCCCTTCCCCTGCTTGTGCTCTCTCTCAAATAAATAAATAAATTTTAAAAAAGAAAGAAACGTAGATACATTATAAATTACAGTGTCATACTAAGTGCAAAGGAAGCGGAGGGTGATCCAGCAATAAGTCTGGCCATCTAGGTTCTGACACTAAATCCTGATAGTGAAGAAGGAATCAAAGACACTATCCATTCCCCTATCCCTTGGAGGCACTCCAGGAATCTACAGGGACAATCAGCAAATCCTTAGACTAACAGTAGTAGTGGTAGGACATGGACTCAAAAACACCATTTATCCCTTCTACTGGTTCTGAGAGGGCCGCCGGCTAAGGGTCCGTAAGAAAATCTCCGTGTCCGCCCTCGGGCTCCGCCCAACGGGAAAACCACGTCCCCGCAGGCTCCCCGGGCCGATTCCGTGGGCTCGACTGTTCCTCTGCCGGCGCAAGCCCCAAACAGAGCAAAGGTCCCCAAAGCATAAACATTCCTACTCCCTGCCCCACGCCGCCCCACAACCCTGAGAGCCCCAACCCTGCCCCTCAAGACCCCAGGTTCCCAGGCTCCTACTTCCTCACCTGGTTCAGCGCTCCATCCGGTTTCCGGTTCCCTTCCCCACCCCCGGGCGCGGAGGACAGTGGGAGTCGTAGTCTACTTTGTTTAGGGAAAGAGATTGGCGTTGCCGCGGCAACTTCCGCCGGAAATACTCAAATCCCCGGAAGGCGTGTTAAATTAACCCTAAGTGACTCTGGGGATTGTAGTTTAACCCTTACATCGGGGTAAAAAGCAAGAAAGCTTTAAGAGGCCAGGCTTAGTAAGGACCGCGGAGGTCCTGGCTTCTAGCTCTAAAGGGCAACACCCTTCCAAAAATTCATCGACAAGGCTTTTCCAAACAGGATTGCGAATCAAGGAACTTCAACCATCCCCAATCTCGAAACTCACCTGAGAGTATTAACAATGGCTAAAAGACCATTTCTAGTCCTCTTGCTGCCCCAAGGATAAGAGATCCCTCCTTTGCAGCCTTCCAAGGACTATATCTAGAACATCCACAGAGGCACTTCTGGAATCTCCTAACAACTCTTTTTTTTTTATTATTTATTTATTTGAGAGAGAGAGAGCATGAGGGGGGGAGGGTCAGAGGGAGAAGCAGACTCCCTGCAGAGCAGAGAGCTGAATGTGGGACTCGATCCCGGGACTCCAGGATCATGACCTGAGCCGAAAGCAGTTGCTTAACCAACTGAGCCACCCAGGCGTCCTCTAACAACTCTTTAGTAATGGCTTTGAGACTCTTCCATCTCCCATTACTGCCCATGCCTTTGTCTCCATGGCTTTCACATTTGACTTCTCTCCCTCCTCTGCCATGCAGTCCACCCAGCCCTATAATCTCCCACCCTTCCCAATCCTTCCCCTCAAATACTTCCCTGAACATTCCTAACCCCATGGCTGCACCTAATAGTCCATTCCCTCCCAACTCCCTAACCCAAATCAATGTCCAGAGCTGTCCCACTCCTATTTTTGTTTTTTGGGGTTTTTTTAAGATTTTATTTATTTATTTGACAGAGAGAGAGCACAAGCAGGGGGAGCAGCAGAGGGAGAGGGAGAAGCAGGCTCCCCGCTGAGCAGGGAGCCGGATGTGGGGCTCCATCCCACGACCCTGGGATCATGACCTGAGCCGAAGGCAGACGCCCAACAACTGAGCCACTCAGGCGCCCCCTCATTTTGTTCTTGTCCTCCATCTCGGTATATTTCTATGTCCTCACTATAAGGTTAGTTTATATTTATTTATAAACTGGAAACTCCATAAGGCTAATTGCCTTCTGGATTCCTCCCACCTCCTGCACGCCTCAGCACAGCCATGCCTGAGATCAGGAAGAAGCAAGGTCTCCCTCCAGGTGGTAAAGAAGGAGACCAGCAAACCCTAGAACAGGAAAAAGTGAGAGAACAAGGATGCTACCCCCTTCCCAACCTTCCCCTGCTCTCCTACCAACAGACAAAAGCAGCATGAGCCTTAGGGAAATGTGAGCAGCAGCTCTCTGACACCAAAGGTGAGAAACCACCCCCACCTTGCCAGACTTTGGAAACAGTGTTAATCATCCACCTCACAAAGTCTGTTATTTCCTGAGCTTGTGTTTGTGCCAGATTCTTTCCCTCTTTGTGTCTTTGCCTCTCCCTGCCTATGTAAATGTATCTCTATCCTTACTCTCTTATTTTGGGGGGTTTGGTTTTGTTTTGTTTTGTTTTTGTTTTTGTTTTTTAAAGATTTTATTTATTTATTTGAGAGAGAGAATGAGAGACAGAGAGCATGAGAGGGAGGAGGGTCAGAGGGAGAAGCAGACTCCCCGCCGAGCAGGGAGCCCGATGCGGGACTCGATCCCGGGACTCCAGGACCATGACCTGAGCCGAAGGCAGTCGCTTAACCAACTGAGCCACCCAGGCGCCCTTGTTTTGTTTTTTAAGTAGGCTCCATGCCCAGTGTGAGCCCAACACAGGCCTTGAACTCACGACCCTGAAATCAAGAGCTGAGCTGAGATCAAGAGTCTGAGGCTTAACTGACTGAGCCACCCACATGCCCCCATCCCTATTCTCTTGTATAGCTTTTTCTCTGTATCTGTCTCCCTCTGTGTATATCTATCCCCATACCTCTGCTTCTTTCTCTGGAATGTCTGAAATAAGACTATCCCAGGCTTCTAGAACTGACTGCCCCCTCAGGCTCCTCTGTCTTCATAGATCTATGCATTTGTATGTTGCCGAACAAAAATTTGGCGGGGGGGGGGGGGGGGGCACACTGTTGTCATCTTATTACTTAAAAATTCTAGGAGCCTCACCATCCCTTGGGCAGCCCTCCTGCCCATCCTACCCCTCTGCCACTTGCTTGCCAGCCACTTCCAGTTTATCATCATGGCAGCCCCTCCACTTTCCAAGTCTGCTTCTGGTAAGAAAGTAATGAGTGAAATGAGTGGCAGGCAAGCAGAGATCCATAGGACCCTAACTCCCAATGCCAACTTCCAGGAAGAACTGTTTCTGTCCCCATAAGCCCATTTGTCCCAGGAGCCCAGAGATAGGAGGTCCCAACATAGGGAGAAACTGAGTCTTGGGCAACCCCACAGTGAGTCCCTATAGCTGACCTCAGTGGGGTCTGGGAGACTTCTCTGTCTAGGCCATGCTACTCCTCCCCACCTGGTGGGTCCTTCTCAGGGAAGATGGAAGTGAGAAATCCTGAAGTGGGGGTTGTTAGAAACAGAGACCCATAGATTTTCAAGAGGTAGAGCCTGAGAGATGAAACTTGGCCTAGCCTGGGGCCCTCCCAACCTGTCTTGCCAGTGTCCCAGCCTCCTGGACCTCTGGGAAGTCTCCAAAGGCCGGCTGACTGTCATTTATGGATAGAACTTATAGGGTAGGAGCAGAAGCAGACCTGTGGCCTGAACAGAGCCTAGAGAGTTGGGTCACTCCAGGCCTAGGTCAGGGCCCTCCGCTGCGCACCGGGCTGCTCCTGGGGCCGGAGCCCAGGCAGGAAGGGGTTAACCTGAGGGTTTGTTTTCCTTTGGTTTCTGCGAGCAGCCGAGGCTGTGTTGGGCCACGAGCGCCATCTATCGGCCTCTGGTGATCCTAGCTCTGACTCCCAGCTCACCGGCTCCCAGGCAGATCTTTTAGCCCTTCCCCTGCCTCCATGCTCCCAGGGTAGAGAGGGGAGTTGTCTAGCTGCAGTAGATATTGGGCATTGGAAAAGGTGAGGGCCATGTTTCCCTCTCCCCAAGTACCAGACGTGACCCTTGATAGCTCCTGCCACCTCTGCGCTAGGGAACCCCAAAGGGCTTCTGGTGTTTGCCTTTCAGGGTAGCCATATCCCCCAGCTCCACCACACTGGGCACTTTCCCTCTCTCAGCCCAGTAAACATTAAAAGAGCATGGGAGAGGAGAGGTGGCGTGGCGGAGGCCTTTAGAGTGTGGTCTTGGGACTCAGACCGCCTGGATTTGAATCCCAGCTTTGCCACTTACTAGCAGCGACCTTGGGCACGTTACTTAACTTCTCTGTGCCTCAGTTAGCTCAATTGTAAAATGGGATAATCACTGTAAACCATCTCTTCTTTTGTGATAATTAAATGACTTAGTTACACAGGTGCTCAGTACAGTGCCTAGCACAGAATAGTGCTCCATAAAGGTTAGTTATTGTTATTATGAGCATGAGTCAGGGTCTCAGGCAGACGTTAGTCTGAGAACCCAAGATCCAGACCACAGAGCCATATCAGACACACAAACACAGAGGACAAGACTGGGCAACACATCCCTGGAGATTTCCACAAAGATAGTGACCCTTATGTGCAGGTCTAGGGGCCAGAAGTTTAGGATTGCAAGGGAAGTTTCAGGTCTCCAAGATCAGCAGGAAATTGGATGAGAGGGTCAGAGAAAGGAAGAACTTGAGGTAAAGATGTAGGATGGAAAAGCACAAGAGGTATTAACAGGCTCTTAAAAGGACCCTGATTTAGGGAAGTGGAGAGAGGTCCCTGATGTGTGGGGCGAGCAAGGGCCACCGCATCCCATAACATGTCTTTCTTGGTACAGGCACAAAAGTCTCAAGGTTTGATCAGGCTTCCCAGTCCTCCAAAGAATTGAAGCCCAATCCCAGCTCTGTGAGGGCCTTAACCCTCAATGTTTTTCCCCAGCCCGGTGGGGAGGTGACTCACAGAGGGAGAAAGCTATCTGCAGGTCCCACACGTCCGGCTCCCACCTCCCTCCCAGAACTGGAGAACCAAGGAAGCTGTGGGTGCATCCATCGGTGTCTTAACAGGTTCAGCCATGTCCCTGTCCCTGTGTCTTCTGTATCTCTGCCTTCCTCTACCTCACTGGCAAATAGGTACAGAGGCTACTTCTCCAAGGGGCGAGCTGAGGGGCAGCGTGACAGCCTCTCAGATAAGACAGAAAGGCAGAGCCAGTGGGGTCTCTGGTCAGTCTCACCACCTCCCACCCCCCCATCTCAGCCCCAAGGCAGCACAGACCAGCTTTATGGATTGATGGCCACTTAACTGAAGGCGGGTGACCGCTTCCACGTCTCTCCAACTCAGGTGTTCTCCCTGTCCTGGGGCCTGGACGCCTGGGTCCCCAGGAGAGGGGCAGGACAGGCTGGATGGGCGGATTTGCATCGCTTACTTGGGAAGCAATTATCGGAGGAGCTGTCAGCGCAGCGCGGCTCTCTCTTCACTAATCGGATTTCACCAGAGCCCCGGGCTGGGGGGTGCTGAGTAATTTGGCTTGATGCAGTGGTGGGAGATGTCGGGGCCAGGAGGCCGGACAATCCGTCTGAGTGGTGTTCGAGTTGTCCAGAGCAATTATCCTGAGGAGACCACACAGACATCAGGCGGACAGCCAGCCAAGGGGACTCGACTGATCCCCAAGTCCTGCAGCAGGACTTGTGGCCGAGTGGGAGGAGCCTCTCCCACATGTGGAGCCAAATTAAACAACTGAGAAGAGGAGTCAAGAGGAATCTGGGAGAAGGGCCACATAACCCAGTGGGAAGGGGA